TTTTAAAAATGTGCTTTTCAGAGTATTTTTCTAGCAGCGTACTTGTGAGTAATTTTTTATTGAAGTAGAAACAGTAATCTTCCTTGAGTAAAAGTTTTGGTTACTCCTTCCACTGAGTAAATCTATTAGTGACAGTAGCTTGATGTTGACAATATAAAATTAACATTTGTCTTGAAAATGTAGTGAATTATAATTTTTTATAATTTACATCAACTTATCAAATTATAAATCAGAACTTTGGGGAGTACTCTTAAATAGGGTGACCAGATGTCCCTATTTACCCAGGACAGCCCCAGTTTGGAGTCATGTGTCCTCTGTCCCAGCAGATTTATCCAAAACTACTGATTTGTTCCAGTTTTATACAAGAAACGTTTCAGGTGGCCCTATTTTGACCAATCTAATATGAGTAAATAGTAAAGGGGGAATATGTTGTAATTTATTAGGCTAAAATACAGAAACCTTTGCTTGACAATGAGCACAAAGCAACAACAACTAAATAAATAAATAAATGCACCAACAGAAGTCCCTCAGGTTATATACTGACCCACAAGCAGAGGTGTAGGCGTGGTACGCGGAGGTATGTCCACCCACTCCTATCGACATGAGATATAAAAAAAAAACAGGACTAAACCAGGTCTGAACCAGGACTAAACCAGAACTGAACCACGACTGAGTGTCAAAATGGGCCCGAAATTGCACCCGTGTAGACCGTAGGGTGACCCTAGGGACAAAAGGACCGGCACAGAGCTCTGCGCCCCACGGGTCTAAAGCACAGCCAACGCTCGATTGCGCTTTGCGGACACCCTACTACACCTACACTCTACACCCTACTCCACAGACTCGGGATTCTCTCTCTCGCTCTCAAGTCCAAGATGAGTCCTGGTTTAGTCTCGGTTTAGACCTGGTTCAGTCCTGGTTCAGCTCTGGGCACATGTTTTGTAGCCTATGTTTTATGTTGTGTAGGTGATTATGAACCGCGTTAATGTTAATAACATGATTCCACAGCATTTTGAGTAAAAAAACAAAACAAAACATCAAATACTGCAGATTTTTACTGTACTATGTAACTTTGTCTCTGTGGTGGGCGGGATTCATCACACCGATGACGTCACGAAATGCGTACCCCCACTTAAAACAATCCCCACTACACCACTGCCCACAAGTGAGTCAAGAATGTTCATGTTACTCGCTCTTTTTAATTTTATTTATACCAACCATCCCAGTTTTGAATTTGGAAAATCTGGTCATCCAAGTTACTCTTAAGTTGTTTTCCCAAATCTTCCTTACTCTTACTCAAGCCTTCGACCACTTCTTTGTACTTCTACTTGAGCTATATTATTTGAAGTAACGCTCTTTTATACCACCTCTGACTAAACAATATTATCTACTAGTCCAGAGCTTTATTGAAAACACACATCGCTAATTTGCCAGATCCGTGCCTGTCCGTACTGTCGACGGCTAACGCGAGCACATCCACTCAGCGTGCTTCCCAGCCTCCTTAGTTACTGAAACGAAAACGCCGCCAATGTTGTTTACCCAGCTCATTGTTGCGTGGCTAGCTGTGTTGTTTTGTACATCTAAGAATCCCTGGGCTTTGTTTCATTATGGATTATGTGCGAGTGCATATAGCGTATTTGGTTTGCGTCCATGTCCCAAAGCTATTGTGAAGGAGCTCTTTAATGCAGAGGCCTATTTAAGTCCCTAGAATATGTCTTTGTTCGGGGCGCAGAGGGTGTGTGTACGTGTGTGTGTGTGTGTGTGTACGTGTGCGTGTGCGTGTGTGGGTTGTTAGCTTGGCAGGCTTGCGTGCTATGCCGGCTCTTGTTAGCGAAGTGCTAATTTGGTGCAGCAGTGTGCCTAGTTGCTTTGTTTGAGCTAATGCAGTCTGAGTCGGCTGGTGAATGCGATGATGATGTTGGATGAAGTCCCCCCCTCTCAGACGCAGGCAGGAGACATCGCACTTCTATCGGTTATGTGATATTTGCAAAGGGTTCAACGAGATCCATTTCGCACTAGTTGTTCACGGAGGAGGGTGCGCTCGAGTGACGTCACGACATTCTAAGGTTATCAAAAGTGTTGAAAATCTAATACTAATCCATACTAAAACTAGCATCGAAACTAGATACTCACTTGAGCGACTATTGATGCTAAAAACGTCACATTCACAGGACAAAAATGAACCTTTCCTGAATAACTTTAGAATGATCCTGAGCTTACGTCACTATGGATACACAGTGGACATAATACACCTGCCACAACTGTGAACTGGACTCTGCAGTGATGCTACTGCTGCTCGATTATGAACAAAATCATTATCACGATTATTTTGGTCAATATTGAAATCACGATTATTCAAAAAATTATCTTTCAGTTACACAATGCAGTTATTCAGCATTTCTCTCTCTTACTCAAAAAAACCCCAAACACTTTGCTAATGATAATTTATGCAAAACTTTCAAAGTGAAAATAAATATAGTCTACAAATATGAACCTTAGAGCAGTTTTGCGATGCATAAAACATAAAATGAATACAATGTGCTTTGAACATGAAATAAGGTGTAGAAAAACATAAATATATCCAAAATAAACAAAATATCCAGCTGTTCTACAATCTCAATATTTAAAAATAAATAAATAAATATACTTATTTATATAAAACATATCCCCAAAATAAACTTTGTTAAGCTTAATTGTTAAATTATGATAAAAATTCAATTAATTGCACAGCCTTAAGTGATGCAACAAACAAACAAACAAACTCATTTGCACCTTATACTGTACCTGCATGTGACTTTATGTCATGTTGTTGTGTTATGCTCATAGACAACAGTAGGCAGTCGAACCTGAAGGGGCCCCTAACCAATGCCTGTCAGTGCCACTGATTGCTGAGTCCTCAGCAGTTTGATTTTCTCTCAATATGACATTAAATGAGAGTAGTTTAGTTAACAGGAAAGCAACATCAAAATAGTATCTGATTGTCAATCTATTTTAAAGAGACAGTTCCAAATTTTGGATATAGGACCCCATTTCCTAGTGAGCCAGAGTGTCAGAGATGTGTGGAGACACTTTGTTAAATATTTTCTCCAGTCCTTGTATTTGCAGAGGTCACTGATGCTAGGCTAGTGCATGTCAATGGCCATAGGTAGCCTGACACTAAAAACAGTCTTACCCACTCCACAAAACACCAAAGACAAAACAATTATTATGCCAGACTATCAATGTAAATGTCTGTGTTGATAGAATAATTTTAGAAATAAAACCAACCTTGCATTTGAAGGATTTATGTCAGCGGTGGACTGATATATGAGAAAATAGTCCCTCAACATGCAATGATTCATGCGATGCAAGGTTAGTTTTATTTCAAACATTATTCTATCAACACAGACATTTACATCGACAGTCTGGTGTAATAATAGATTTGCTTCAGGTGTTTTGTGGAGTGGGTAAAACTGTTTTTAGTGGCAGGCTAACAATGGCCATTGACATGCACTAGCCTAGCACCAGTGACCTCTGCAAATACAAGGACTGGATGGAGTATTTCAAAAAATGTCTACAGATGTCTCCAACACTCTGGCTCACAATGTCCATTATGTCCGAACTGTCCCTTTAACTGTCAAAGCATTTCCCTCTTTCACATTAGAATGGAGTGAAGCGGGAGGGGCCCTGTTACCGCGATGGATGGTAATTTCAAAGTTATTTACAAAATGGACACACATCAAACTATTGAAAGATTCAAATTGGACATATTCTCACTCTTTGGAGTGGCGTGAGCATGTCTGTGTGCTGAGGTAGGCAAAAGATCTCTGCTGACTGCACTTTTCTAGCTTTATTTTCACTCAAGACAGAGCTACCCGTCAAAAAGTCCGCTCCACTTTTAGACAGATGTTGAGCGAATAAGCAGTGATTGCAAATTAATTACCCGCATATTACCCGCAGAATATCATAGTTTGTGCATATTAATTGCTCGTACATACATAATAACTGGGCCGGGAGGCAGGGAGACGAACAAGCTGCCGAACTCTATGCACTGAAAAGTAGTCCCACTGAAAAATAAACTGAAACTATCGCTCAACCCACTTAATACAATTTATATCTGGTTCAAGCTGAGTACTTTTTGGATATTTAATCTGCCCTACACTGGAATTTCAGCTCACATATTGACAGACTTGAGCTCATTCATGTGGATCTGCCCTTCTCTATCTCAGTACGTCTCTTAGGAGCAGCGGCAAACCTAATATAAGTGTTGGTTTACTTGTAACGAGTAATCTAACTACTTAATTACTCTTTCCAGTGTAATGTCGTTATAATTACTCTCAGTGTAACGGGGCTCTTTATTTTACTGTAAGATTGCAGCTCCTTTGAATGAGAACGAGAGAGCGTAAAGTTTTTTTCTTTGTTTTGGAAGTAAAAAAGACCAAACCGAGAGAACAGAGACAAAAAACAAAGAGACTGACTGTAAAATTAACCAATCAGAAGAAGTGATAGGCAGCCCTAAAAACTTTCTTGACATTTCAGTGGCTGACAAGTGGGGTGAATGCTCGCTGTTTTCAACAAGAGGAAACATGCAGATTCAGATTGCAGGAATTTACGGCCGCGTCTCAATTCTCTTCCCTCGCTTCCTTCTCCTTGATTCCTCTCCTCGATTCCCCCATTTTTCAGCTGTCAATATTAAGTGATCTCCCAAAGAAAAGCACAGAAGGAAGGTGTAAACATGAGAGATGCTTCAGGAGGCAGACATCAGATAAAAGAATCAAACTTTATTGGTCTCACTGAGGAGTTTATATCCTCTCTTTTCTCTGTTTCTCCTCTGTGGGTGGAGCTTCCTCACCCAATTCCTGCAGAATCGAGGGGAGGAATCAAGGAGAAGGGAGCGGGGAAATAGAAATGAGACGCGGCCTACGGATATATATGTTATCTGGGGACTCTTTATGACGGGACCACAAACAGACAACTGCAGAGGGAGGGACACGAGCGCCTGGAGTTTACAGATTGCTAAAAAAAAAAGACGTCAGCGTGGAGATAGTGGACAAAGCCCTCTGCTCATGCGACTTATCGTAAGTGCAGCTCATCTAACATGTGTTTGGCATTTCCGGTTCATGTATGAGCGCTGTCATGTGGCGTGCACATGTTTGTTGTTTGTTCTGATATCAGTGCATTTGGTAAAATGCGCTGCTTGGACACAGTCTGCTGCACAAAGAAGGCGGTTGTTTGTCCTGCTCTGTTCTGACTGTACAGTTGTGAGTCTGTGTTGGTGCTTTTGATCTCTGTGGATGAAAATAGTTTGTAACTCTGGCTCTGGGTGCTTTTGGTGATTTGCAGGACAAATAAGGCAGAATTAGCTTGTTTTTAACTCGGAAAAGCAGCTGGGGTGTAATCTTTCTGTAATTTAATAGTCATTTTATTCCATATTTAGTTTGTTTTATCACACAGAAATGCAGTTTTTACCGTAGTTATTTTGGGAGAGAAGTAACGGGGAACTGTACTTAATTACTTTTTTGAAGGATCTTTCCCAACACTAACAGAACCACACCCACTGAGGTTTATTTCATTTTGGGGGAGTCCTCAAATATATAGTAAACTAATCCTGGTTTTGCCATCAGAGTTTTGATCTCTCTGACTCAGTATCAAAAAACGACTAACAAGGTCTAGTTTAAAACATTATCTAAGCATTTATGACAAGGCAGCCAGCTTCAATGTTAAAATACAGCAGAAAAATGCCAGCTGAAAGAGAGAAAACACATTCTGATTTGAACATAATCAGAGCATAATCATATGTAATGGATGAAAACAAAAACATAATTGTACCAGAAATAAAATCAAATCAACTTTCAGCTCTGGTTATCTAGTACCTGACTAAAAAAGGTACATTTCTAATCCAACCTAATTCAAACAAATAGAGATGTGAATGTCTCAGGAACAAAGAACAGACTATCAGAAGCCCAAACAGTACATTATAGTGAGGGCCCCAAACTCAAGTTTGCCTTGGTCTTCGAAATGACTAACTCTGCCACTGGTTATGCTACAAGTGCCTCAATAGTGTATATGTCTACATTTCAGTATTTGCACTAATACTATTTGCACTAAAGCCACGATACTTCCAATGGTCTAAATGTCATTTCATTGTTACTTGTGACAATGACAATAAAACTTTGAATCTTCAATCTTGGAACCTACCTGGACGACTAAGAGATTACACAGATATAAGACTGCAAGGTAATATAAAAGAAAGTACTATGCTTTAATGTTGAAAATCACATTTCATATATCTTGTGTTGTCGGTTTTGAGTATTGAGTCTGTTTCTTAGTATTGCTGGGTTTCAGATGACGTCACATCACAACATTCTATAGGAAAACAATAATTAATACAGATATGGGGCACTTAAAATGAGTATTGTTTTTTTTGTTTGTTTTTTTGTTGTTTTTTTTGTAATACAGTGAATTATTGATTGTAGTCAATATAGATATTTCGATATTTCATTGCAAAGTACAATGTAATCATCACATTCTAGAATCTTAAATCCAATAATTGAAATCAAAATATAGTTTAAAAATATAGACATATAGAAAAACAAAAATATGGTGGATTTGTCTATTTGTCAGATTACAGATTTGTGCACGGTGTAACTTTCTGCTTCTCTCTCTATGAAAATGATGCCTGGAATTGGAATGTTCCAGGGTATGGCATTATACTTACTCTTTATGGAGACAGCAGGTGAAGCCACAGGGCCAGGTTACATGTTAGATCTTTGGAGAGGTGAGACCACTCACAATAAGAATGGTAATGGTCACATTTTTATACAGAGCTTTTCCACCTTCAAGGCACTCAAAGCACTTTACAATGAACCACTCACCCATTCACACACCAGTGTACACAGACACTGGGGGCGAGGTGGTTTAAGTACCTTGCCCAAGGACACAATGATAGCATTCATCTGTGGGAGCTGGAATCACACCAGCCAACCTGTGGGTTACTGGATCTGACCGCTCACTAATAGGGACATAACAATAACCAAAATATTGTGATATTGTATCGTCAAAAGTCTCACAATATCATGGGCGGTCACAGTTATATCGAATTACAAGTTCCTTTGCTTAAATGCATGGTTTTACAGTAGCAACAGCTTAGAAACATAGGGGACTACATATCCCATGATTCATTTCAGTGCAAACAACATGAAGAGATATGTTTTTACTTGAATTCCAAAACACCAAAATCTTGTCAAGGTGTTTTAAAAGCAGAAACATGTCCTATCTACAATTACATCAGCCTCTCCAAAATATCACAGTAAACATCATACCATGAGATGCATATCGTGATAATATCGTACAGAGAGATTTGGATATTTTCACATCCCTGCTAACTCATGTTTATATCGAGAGCAGAATTTGAACTGCCCACCTTCAGATCAGTGCACAAATGCTCTACCAACTGAGTTACTGCCGCCCAAGAATGCAAGTTTTTAGAGCAATAAAAACACGTGATATTGTGTAAATGCAAGATGGATAAATTTAATGGCATACCGGGACATTCCATGCCTCCACCAGAAAAGTTACACCGTGCATCTTTATCCTTGTTTATTGTTAATACTTCTTTAATGACTGTGCCTATCCACATGACACAAAAACGGACACAAAATTCAAGGTCGTGGATCCCAAACAAATGTGATATGAATAAATATAAACCACACATAAATATTCATGCTTCATAAGATCAGATATTTCTTTAAAAAATGAACTAAAACAGTAAATCTCCCATAGGCTTATACAGAGCCCTGCCTGCTGCATCTGAAATGAACTTATAATGAATGTGAATGCAACCTCTTGACCTTTTGTAACAGCCTTTATTACAATACTTTAGCAATTAGAACATTTCAATTAAAATCACCCGGTCAAGGCTTCAATTCTGTTATTATAGACTTAAGTGTTTAATGACAGTAAGTGGACATTTTTGACGGTCCTGAAATTGCAAAAAGAAAAAAAAGAAAAAGAAAACAAGATGCTGGGTTCAATTCCTGCATTGTTCTCCCCATGTGTTTATGTTGGTATCCTCTGACGTCTCTTTAATTTATTTGAGAAGCATGAAAAATGTAGCCTGATTCATCAGCCGGTTTCACTTTGTAGAAACCGTCTGACCTTGCAGCATTAGAATTCGTTTGCTCGATGGTAGGCGGGTACTTTTTTCATTTAACCAATTACTGCTATTTGATCGTCTTTCCCCTTGATAAAATTCACCAAACATTCGCTTTGTTCCGGTTTTAAATCCTCGATCTTGGGAAATGTTGCCAACACAGAATGTATGGCTATTCACTGATTGTCGGATGTCCGAACTCGCACTTCCGGGTTTTTTTGCGAACCATCTAGTATATTCTGATTCCCGGCTATGAAAAATGATGATATCAACATTAAATTATGGTTGTACATACTGTGCTGCATTACATTTACGCTCAAAAAGGAGTTGGAAGAAGTGAAAACTTATAAGTTTTTACCTCTCTGACATTCTCTATGTTTATAGCTATACTAAAATGATATAATACTAATACTACTACCATTCACACACTTTTAGTAAGTTCCTTTGCAGTAATTGCTTTCACACATTCCTACTTTTTTTTTTTTTTCTTTACACATGATTTAACAGGTACATGGTTTCATTCAGTTTCTTTTCTTTCCACTTGTTCTCAACTTACCCTCCTTCTGCATGCTTTGTACACATGTTATTTCTGTGTAGTTGTTTAAAGCAGTATACATTTTCTGTGCTGTGTGTTGTTCGAGAGAATAGTTCCATAAACACCCGAAGCAAAACAATTATTATGCCAGACTGTCGATGTTAATGTGATAGAATAATGTTTGAAATAAAACTAACCTTGCATTGCATGAATTGTCACATGTTGAGGGACTATTTTCTCAGCAGCAGTGAAATATTACTTTGTCGGTAAGATAGGTGCTAGATGATGTCAGTTCGCCTCTGACGCACTTTCTATCAGGAAGTACAACTCACTGCTGCTGCTCAGAAATCCTTCAAATGCAAGGTTGATTTTACTTCAAAAATGATTCTATCAACACAGACATTTACAACTGCAGTTTGGCGTAATAATAGATTTGCTTCGGGTGTTTTGTGGAGTGGGTAAAACTGTTTTTAGTGGCAGGCTAACTATGGCCATTGACATGCACTAGCCTAGCACCAGCGACCTCTGCAAATACAAGGACTGGATGGAATATTTAAAAAAGTGTCTCCAAACGTCTCCAACACTCTGGCTCACTAAGAAAATGGGGTCCTATGTCCAAATTTCCGGACTGTCCCTTTAACCCTTGTCCATATGCTCCATGTAAAATTCTCCTAGGTTCCTCTATCAACACCAAATCATTCAAAATTGGCTGACTCTCAAGACGTAGTATCCTTTCCAAGTCAAGATGCAGAGAAAAGTCCCTGGGCGCTGTACTGGGGGTTTTCCAGAGGCACTGCTTCAAATATTTATTCATTTCATCTTTTCAATATTTTAGCAGGCAGGTCAGTTGAGAACACATGATAAAGACACAACGTCAAATAAAACAAACACTCACACATCAATCATACTGTGCTGTTAAAGATGAAACTGTAAAAAGTGAGATGATTGAGTTTTTAAAAGTCGACAGAGATACAAACAAACTGAAGTCTGTAAAGTCTGTTGTAGGTGGTTCCAGAATTGTAATGAGGAGTGTCCAAAAGTTGTGTAGGATGGGTTAGTCGTGCAGAAGATGTTTACAACTAGAAAAACACAAGCTGTACCAACATTTATATAACTTCTCAGACAAGAATAAAGTGTACATTCTGGTCCCTGGATTATGCAAAGCTATATTGTAAAAAGTCCATGGGGATGTTGTTAAACTTTTGCCATTGGCGCTTTAGGATAACTGATAAAAGTGAAACAGGAAGGTAGTGCTTTTCCTGTAGTTCACTGCTGGTGTGTCCTGGGGTAAGAGACTTTGTTCGCTTTGCCTGTTTGAAGTTACACAGCAATGATTATATATTTGAAGGTTCCAGAATTGGCATTGCATATAAAAATGAGTTAGAGTTCGC